TTGAAAATATGATAAATTTTTGTTTCGATTTTTTCAAAATTCTACAGTAATCAAAAGTGAAAACAATTCTTCACCTTCGTTACCACCCACCGGATTAATTGAATTATAACTCTTTTAATTCTGATTTTATCAGAATTATTTTAACAATTTTAAAGGTAATTTAATGAGCTACAACTTTCTCTATCATAAATTTTACCGTAACTTCTCTTATTTTGAAATTGCAAAGGATTGAAGGACCCGAAAGACACTCTGGTTGGACACTATCAATATTTGTATAACAGAAAAATAATAAAAAGCAATAATTGTTCAGTAAAAGACCTTGACCTTGAGTTGATTCCAGAGGGAATACAATTATTTTTAATTTTGGTGGAAATGGCACTCAAAAACTGATTGAATTGAACTGAATGATTCTAAATTATTTTTACTTTTAAACTCAAGGGTGAGATAAACCTAATTCCAAAACTTCATACAAATTGGAGCACATTGAAAATATTCAGACACAAAATGCTCCATTGTCTTGAGTAAATATTTCGTATCCAATGCCAAACATATGAATTTTTGACACAATGAAACTTCTAAATAATTGTTTGTATAAGTAAATTATTTTTGTATTGTGATTTAGTAAAGTAAGGCAAAACACGACTGCATTTAAAAGTTAAAAAATAATAATCAGTCAAAGTGAATTATAGGTAAAGTTTGATGTACGACCACTGACAGTTGCATGCGCAGACTGCATCACCTGTCAGATGTTGACTGTAAATCTTATATTATTTTAATTTTTGGCATATTGCAGCTGCTTGTTGGCTTAAATAATGTAGTCATTACATTATTCTTATTCATAATCATAAATATATTATATTTTAATACTGTCTTAGCCTATAAGTGAATGGAAACGTTTGGCAAATGACAGTCTTCATTTGTTTTAATGTCAAACCATGCCTTAAATATAATATTTTTTATAGTATAGTATTTTTTCCATTTATTTCTACAATCTAACTATATTTCTATGAATCTAAAAATTCTAGAATATTTCCCGAACAAACTTCAGGTAAATTCATGAAAATCCGAATTGTAGTTTGGGAGGATTAACCATTCATACATAGTTACAGAAGAATTTTATATATATATATATATATATATATATATATATACAGGGCCGGTCCTGGGGTCCTCAGCGCCCGCATGCAAGATTTGTTCTAGCGCCCCCCCCCCCAATAATTTTAACTGTTTTACCAGTTTTATTTAAAAATTATATAAACATTTACGTTAAGTTTTTTAATTAATTTTTAATCATTCTGGATTTAGTACACAAAAAATTAGATATAATCTAAAAGCGCATAGAATACATTGATTTTAAATTTATTTAGAAAATCGAGACGATTCGCGGGTTGATCATAATCAAATATTTTTTAACGTATGGGTAATATTAATATTTAGGCATTGAAACGTTTAACTTATTTATTACGCGATTTATTCTATAGAGCAAATCACGCCAAAAGAGCAAAAAAAAACTAGTCTTTGATTTTTAAATATAACACTCGTATTTCAAGTTTTAAATTAAATTTTATTTTAATTTATTTTTTCACTATTCACAATATCCAAAATTGCATCGTAAACTTCTCCTTATTGGTATCGTAAGGGCCGAATTATATCCAGCTTTACTTTCCCATCAGATTGAGAGTATCAGATTGTTGTTTTAAAGTTAAACTATTAACTTATTTTTAAATTATTGTCCAAAGATTAGTAAAAGATGCAAAAAAAAATTACATATTTCCTTAACTATACTGAAACAAACAAATTATATTTGTATACGTATTATTGCAGTAAATGAGTTCGCCTTTTTTCACCAATAACGCCCAATAATTAATTTAAACTTTCGTAGGTTATAATCTATTAAGTATTTTAGATTTTATATTCAAAAAAATATATAAATAATATATTATAAATTTCATTTCCGAACCTCGTTTTGGCGCCCCCTAAGGCGTGCGCCCGCATTTTTTGCATGCATTGCATTCAAGGTAGGACCGGCCCTGTATATATATATATATATATATATATATATATATATTCAACAGGAAACTGATAGAAATTAAGATTAATATACAAATATAATGAACATAAACGACGAATTATTCAAACGTCATACTCTCATCAGAAGTTTGAATCGTAAAAATCAAAATATTGTATATATCTTATATATAAAAATGGAGCTGTCTTTCAAATGTCCGAATAAAACTCGAAAACGGCTGAATGGATTTGGCCAGTCTTAGTCTTGAAAAATTCCTGCCAATCCAGAGATTGTCCAAAAGGTGAGATAATATTTCAAATTCGCGTAGAAACTTTACATTTTTAATTTGAAAATTTTTGGTAAACAGCACTTGATTCAAAATGGCTTCCCACACAATATTATTCAAATGACAGATGTATCGCATACTCATATGTCAAAAGGTTTTGACAATTTAAAACCGATTATGTGTTATTCTTTTAATTTTAAAATTTAATTATTTATATATTTTTAAATGTTAATAAGAATGCTTATTTTGATTTTATATGAGGTTTTTATTTAATTCTCAAGTGTTTGCTCACTGCCTATTTGTATTCTTTTATCAACAGCTTGAAATAATACTATTATTATTGATTGATTAAGGCTTGCTTATGAAAAAATAAATAAATAAATTTGTTTCAAACGCTCTGCTGTGCAAGTACTTATTGGTTTAATGTGAATAATGTGTTACCATAACATTTTCTGATTTATATTATTATTGCATATAGGTTATTCAAATTGAGATCCTAAATTTGGAATTCATCGAAGGGGACACCATAGACAGCGATATGAATAAGAAAATTGGATTATAACACAGATAGTATTTTTAGAAATCATATTCATAAAACTCTCAATTATGTGTACATACAAGTACAAGATCTTCGGAAACAAAGTTGTTTGAAAATTGCTTATGAAGATCGCATTATGACATGTGACATCAGCATAAGTGCAGTTTAATTAGATATGGAAGTAATCATTACAAATATTTACAGTACAATCTATTTACAATACAAATTTTTCATTACAATTGTGAATAATGTGTTACCAAAACATTTTATGAATTATATTATTATTGCATTTAGGTTATTCAAATTGAGATCCTTAATTTGGAATTCATCGAAGGGGACACCATAGACATTTCTGTCTAATCACTTATTGCAAGTTATAATAGACAGCGATATGAATAAGAAAATTGGATTATAACACAGATAGTAATTTTAGAAATCATATTCATAAAAATCTCAATTACTTCCCGAGCATACTACATACAAGTCATGGTGATAACAAAGATGCCACTAATTTGAATACACGATTGCAAAAAAGGGAAATCAAAATAAGCACATTAAAATTTATCACATTATGTACTCATGTTGAAAATGTACATATGTTCAATCAAATTCATAAAGAAGAAATGTCCATTTTATATAGCTATATAACAATTCGTGGTAAAACGTTAAAATGGCTGTACGGATTGGGCTCAGTCTTAGTTGCATAATTTTATATTCATTAGTATTTATAAAATATTTTCTAGATTATATTATTATTTTATTTAGATTATTTAAATTAAAAACCTAAATTTGGAATCGATCAAAGGGGACATTTTGACGAATAACTTATTCCCAGATATAACTGACCACTACTTAAATAAGAAGATTCGGTTGATAATATAACTTTGGAACACACATCTGTAAAAATGTCAATGCACATAATTACAAGTTCTCTGGAATAAAATATTTTGAAAATTGATTATAATGCTCGCATTCAATTAAATGTATGGACAGTTCGGGTGCTAGAACAAGTATAGCAGAAAAATGAGTACAATTCTGAAGGTATTCCTTTCCATAGATATGTCAAAATCTATGCATTTTAGACACAGTCAGGTATCGTTCATGTTTTATTGAATCACTCTACAAATTGAAAAAGATGAAGAACTTCAACAATCATTGGATAATGCAATGTAAAATATAATTCACTAATGGTTATTTTCCACTAATTTTGAAGAATAAACTGGAAAAATTTTCTATGAATTTATCGAAGAATGGATAGTAATATATGAAGATATGGGGTTAATAAAATTCACCACCAATATCTTAAAAACCAGTAAAGTTTAGCATTGTTCAACAACAATATTTGAAAGTAGAGGGAAAAAGATTATAACCAGTTATAACCTTGATTCTTATGACTTTGCTATCAGGAGATAAACGGTAATCTTTGAAAATCCATAACAAAAGTATTTCCTTTTGTTGTTAGTTTTTTGGGTTGTGAGCACTGTGATTTAGTTCACGAGACCTTAATATAAATTTTAACTATTTAATTGTTTTATAAAATGTAATGTTAATTTTGAGTGAGATTCAACACTTTAAAAACTTACATCTGTGTGGGGCACAAATGACCAACTGAACATTGACCACGGCTAAAGATTAAAAAAGACTTGGACTGAATTATACCATATTTTTATTGAAAGTGTATAAAACTTCCAGTTTGATTGTATTAACAAAATATGGTCAAACGAATATTGTTATTTTGAATTATATAATTTATTATTATACAAGTAGACTTTGAAGTTTATTGTGTTTATAATACCTCATTGTCGGTACCATTCAAACTATACATCCTTACACTCCTAAAATAAAGTATTCTTTTTTTTATTCTGTAGAAGTTGCTTAGAAATACCTAACTTAGCAAAACAACGTTTGCCGGGTCAGCTAGTTAATTAATATTTATTAATTGTTTTATGATATACTTTAAAATAAATTGTAATAATATTAATAATATTAAATATTAAATCTATTTGGAATAGCAGAATAAGTAGAATTTTATTATTAATAAGATAATAGTGATTTTCACTGTAAATTAAATTTTATTTACCAATATGGAGCCTATATTGGTTTTGAATGTGGGGTAAATGATGTCATATATTATGCTATGATTTGTTTTTACTGATGATGCGACTTACCTAGTGGCAAGGTGTAGTTGACAGATTGTTGTCCGCCGGGCCACGTATGATTTGATCCTACCTGAAGGTAGTTTGGAGTGTGTTCACCAGGAGAAAAATCACCTGATGCCGAAGGATTTGGTACCATGTTTCAAAATATGAGCACTTGCATTTGCTTAACAAAATCTATCTCTTGATCCACCTTAAATTTATTATAATATTCATTATACTGAATTTCTGTAATAATTTCTGATGATGTTTGAGAAAAAATCATAAATATTTTTGAACAGAAAAAAAAGAAATATTTTTTTCTGCAGACTTAATTGCAATGAAATTATTTTTTGTTTATTATATGCACACAACTCAATTACAGATAAAATTTTTGCGCATGAATCACAGCACACATATTGCAAATCTTGTATTTAAGGTATAAAATATGTAGCCGGTATTACGCAAACAGAGGCATGCACTCGATATGTAAAGTGAGTGATAATTTTTCAACAAAATTACAACGTACGCAATCTCACGTGCTACGAACAATCTTGTCACTCGGTGTCATCACTGCGAGCTGCGCACACATATCTCTGTACGTACCGCGGTTGGGTTCTACGTCCTTACAGTAAGCTACGCTTTTCACAAAATGTTTATCATGACCGCACGAAAAAACTTACTACGCGTAGCGGCCCACTCTCACTCGACAGATGTGTGAGTACGCACAAAGGATAAATGAACTCTATAAAAAATAATCGTTAGGCAGATGAAGAAAACACTTATGTTCAAAAATCAAATAAGTTTTATGTTTTTTTCTATGAAGTCGTACAACCGCTTATAAACTAAATATAAAAAATTAGTTAGAACAAGCGGCATGATTGATCATTACTAAAAAACAAATCAACGCGACTGGCAATCAGCACCTTTCACATAAAGTTTAAATGTTTAAATCGGCTCCGATTTATGTTCAAATACTTCAGATTTTAAATGTTAATCACAATAAAAATGCACTGATGCACTATAAAAAACTAATCCGCTAAAAAACTAATAAGTTTTTATTTATCTAGTGAAAAAACAGCTCAAAATAATTCACGTAAAATAATTCAATCGTTATATATTCTAAAGACATTCTGACGTCTAAAAAACACAAGTGAACAAAATATTTTAATATTTTTACAAGATATTTATTATCATCAACTTTATTTGCCAATTCATTGTTCTTATTTTTTCAAATCTTGAAAAAGTTATGATTAACTTTTATTTAATAAGAGTGCTGTTCTAGTAATATAGAGAACTTATTGTAAAATATGAATATGTTTGTAATTTAATTGAAAATGATTTTTTCATTATTCAAAATTATCTTACACGATTATTCGAATTTTGATAATTCTTTTTGGAGTTTGTTAGAATTTTTTTTAAGATGTGTTGAATTATGAAACTATAGTAATAGTAGAAATAAATAGAAAAACTGCAAAAAACAACATATTGTTGTTTGACATTGAAAACATTTTGTAACACTTGAAATTTGAATTTAGGTTAAATTATGACAATACTAGAATATAATATATTCATGATTATGATTAAGGAAAATTTAATGTCTACATTATTATTGCCCAAAAGAAACTTAGATGTGCCAGAAATTAAAATAATATAAGATAAAGTATATGTTTATATATGATACATATAAAATTATATATTTCAGTTTAACAGATAATGTTTTTTAACTTATGCATGTCATATTTTGCTATACATTAATAAATTATTTCAAATTACAAAAAAATACATATTTGAGAAGTTTCATTGTGTCATAAATTCATTTGTTTGGCATTGGGTATGAAATATTTAGCTAGTTGACCGTAGACCGAATAGTGCACATATGAACGAGATTTGGCAAAAATTTGGCAAAATATAAATTTAAGTAATAACGAATATTAAATTATTAGTAAAAAAAAATTTAATTTATATATTAAAATTAATAAAAACCAATTAAAATATAATACAAGATTTTTAAAATTATAGGCAACATTATTGAAGCAGTTATTTTGGGTGTAAAAATCCAAGGTAATATTGTATTTTTACCGCGGATTCTATATATTAATTATTTCTGAATTTGTTATATGTTCAAATGACTTCAATTTCAAATACATATACGTATCTTATGCTATGACCATAACTAAATCAAAAAGACAGACGATGAATTTTTATGAAATAAATTTGGAAAATCAACGTTTTAGTCATGGATGAACAAAAAATTAATAATTCATGCATCTACAGATATGACTAAAAATAATGTATATCCTTTAGAATTACAATAAATTGAGTTATTGGAAATAAATTCTTTCTAAAATTTGTAGTATATAAGTTTTAATATGCAATTTTAACACGCACATTTTGATATTTGTTTGTTTGATATATGTTATATGGTTTTATGTAGCTGATTTGGATTTCACAGTATAGCTGAAAAGTTATGTGTTGAGAATTGACTCTCATATATATATATATATATATATATATATATATATATATATATATATATATATATATATATATATATATATATATATATATATATATATATTGATGATTCTTTGTTCGACGTTGAAACATATTGAATTGAATAAAACAGCTAATGCGTCGAATGTAGAAATGTTTATATAAAAATTTTTATACGTTTTGAGACTAGATGTATCTCATCATTCAGCAGATCAGGAAAAAACACATTTTAATATCACCACGAACACAACAATCACATGCAACTATTGTAGGAAAACATAAACAATTTAAAAAAGAACCGAAAAAGGTAAATGTAATGATAAATTATACAACACATATTTTTTGTTTCTAAGCAAGGATAGAACAATTTTTCTACAGTAGTAGCGTATGATTGCTGTGTTGGTGAGGATAGTAAAATGTGTCTTTTTCTGATCTGAATATAAACATTTCTACATTCGACGCATTGGCTGTTTTATTCAATTATATATATATATATATATATACATATATATATATATATATATATATATGCGTTTGTGTGTTTTGTATGTATATATCTGTAACTACGTGTGTGCACAATTTAAAATTTATATTGCATTATTTGCGAAAGTAAGGTTTCCAACTCCTGGCGATATAGAGACGTGCGTCGGTTTCCTACACAAAAGCTGAGCGTCTGCGCATCAACGCGAAGAACGTCTATAATCGATATACCTTTCAAAGACATTGCTGAACCCAATTTATTGCTCCTGCCATCTATGAAATGCTTTCAGGGCTTCAAATAGGATGACAAGATAACTAATATTAGATTTATACATGATAAATGATAATTATTAAATATTAACCGTTTAGTTACTGCACTTAAAGCTAATCGAAATGTCTGATTGTCAGTTACAAAACAAATTTTATTAAAGCTTGTTTGAGTAGGCATCCTTATAATATTAGGAATTTTTGTTTTATTAAAATTCTGTCAGAGTCATGAATTAAATACAACAAAAACCAATTTCAATAAATTTTATACCAAAACCATACTGGACGCAAAATCAAAAATGGTAAGCAACCATTGATAGCATGAAATCTCATTCTATCAATAAGCAGACCAATTATGAAATGTTTTATAGTTATTTTATCAATATTCACAGACTTGTAGTTGATAAAGAAATAGAAAAACAGATGAGATACCATTACGATCGGTTCCTTCTAACACTTCGTTTTCATATGTTTTCAATACGACCGCAGAAAGCGTTTTAGTTCAATTGAAAATGTGTGACGTAAGTTATTATATTTTGTTCAATAAATATGAAATAATTAAAAATGCTCTAAAAAATTAAACTTTTCGAATAACGACAGGAAGAATATATTCTCCGAGACCCTAAACCCGTAGAAGTAAAGTGCGGAAAACTTTTGTGGGGCTGCGAATGCATACGTCGTAATGGATTACAGGTAAAAAGCTGTAACATAAGCTGTCATTTGAAACATACATTGAAAATTATCTTAATTCTAACTTGGTAAAAAAACCTAACATTGTAAAAATTGTAAAATTTTTGAACAAATTAATCGATAGATATATAACTTTAAAACTAAATAATTGTAACCAATAAATATAACTTATTGATGCCTTATATGTTATATTATAGCAATCATGATTTTATTAGCTTTAAAACTTATTTACTTTAATGTATCATGGAATATCAGATTATGATGTGATAAATAATGTTATATTATTTTTCAGGACAACTGTGTTCGCTTACAATGTATGGGAAGACCGGAATGCATGAGTAAACCAAATCCATGCTGTAAACCAGGTCGTTTAATGACCGTTTCACCACAGGCACTTTCGTCAAGCAGACCATGTTGTCCTCGGTACTGCTACGCTCCGGTATGCAAACCGGTTGACCGGTAATTCAAGCGAACTTTTGATCATTATTCAATTTGTTTTTATAGATTAGATTTGTTTATGAAACTAGTTGAAAGTGGCATTTTGCCTTAAGGCAAGTTGACATAATCAACCAAAATTGAGATTTAGATATTCAAATAAAATATTTAACTGTTAATTTTGAAAATAAAATTTTCACATTTTATTGATTATGGTACACAAGCACGTGTTTGTATATCCTGAAAGCGTCTATTATTCCAAATTTTAATGAATATTTATATAATTCAAACAATTTTTGTAGGACTGTTAAGCACATAAACTTTATCTCCATGTTAAATTTCATTTAAAACAGTAAAATATTTCTTTAAGAAACTTAAAATCTATTTTGTAAAATACTAGAATACATCTACTAGAAGAACATTCTGGCATAATTACGTGTACTATACACGTAGTCCTTGATATTATTTAATCATATAAAATAATGATAATATTTTTAAACAACTAGAGAAGTTTTGAAGACTGCTCCTTAGGTGACACTAAAGGGTATGGGCGTGTTTCCATATAGAATTGGCCCCACCCTGGTATTTAAATAATTTTGATGCCATTTTATAGCTATTTTTGAGAAAATTCGAAATACCAAGTTCAAATCCGTAGCTCATCATTTGGCCAAGATATCAGTGAAAACATGTAAAAGTGGCCCCACTTTTCAAACTCACTTTTTGTCGGAAATATGAGAGATATCAAAAAACTGTTAACGGCATTCTATTTGTACTGATCTTGTCTATGTTGTTCATAACAAATAATGTGAAAAAATTATTTGTTAGTGCGTGAAAAGGTGAAGATGATTTTTCATTTACCATTTTCTACTAGCGCGGCTTTTTTGACTACTTTTATATTCGCATCATTCGAAAGCCTGTACATTTTTTTTCTATTATTTAAAAATTCATTCAAATCTACGTGGAACTTTGGGAGAAAAGTTCGCAAAACTTAAGCTAGTACGCGCGCTGCCGGTACAAGAACACCCATATAAAGTCGCTTTGCAAGAGCGACGAGCAAGCATAAGGCTCGTCGTTATCGCGCGTCTCGACATATTATGTGTATAAGTATGGAAATATTTATTAAAAACCAAAATTTCTGTATATCTTGTCTATAATCTTGTATTCATTAGTAATAATAAAAAATCCAACGCGCCGAATAAAACAATAATTATCATTATTGATTATTTTCATTCGCCGTATAAGTTCTGACTAATATATTTCAATGTATGAAAAACTTAAAATTTCATTATTTTTTATAT